CTAGCAATGGCCTGCAACCACTAGGGATGGCCTCCAACCTACTTGCGATGGCCTCCATCCAAATAGCGATGGCCTCCAACCTACTAGCGATGGCCTCCAGCGATGGCCTCCAACCTAGTCAACGGCCAAGGCCTTGGCACAGAAACTCATGGACGAGAGTGTTGCTGCACAGAACAAGGCTTTGAACAAATGCTCACGAATGGCAGTGAGAAACATCTTTCACCACGTAGCAGACAAGAAAACGGAAGGTTGTTTCTACAGAGTTATTGCATTGACGCACGATCATGAAAGCCATGACCCAATGTTGCGAGGCCGAGAAGCGGCTAAACACTGTAGATGAGCGTTGCGACCAAGTGATTCAGGCAACCGTCAATCTTGGATGGGCTTCGCACTGGAATTATGCCGATCATGCCATGATTCACAGCTTCTACTTCAAACTTCCAGCAGCAGGCTGCCAGAGGCCAGATGGAAAGGGCAGTTCAGGACAGTTTTTCGTCACCCATATGAAGCCATGCAGTGACCCAGAAAGAAAAAGGATCTGAAGATGGACGCCGAAGTGGCTAAAAATGCCAGGAACTGAGTCGTGTCACTTCTTCTCTTTCTAGGGCATAGTGGTTGATCAAAGTGATGCTGTTTTGCCAAGGCCATGGAAGCTGACTTGCAGCGCATGGATCGCTTTGTGCAAGAAATCGGGTCAAAAATGTCCACACAGGAGAATCCCTTTGTGAATCAAGTTGTAGTGATCGTCCAAACAGGGAAGTGTCTCTTCTCAAATGGTCAGGAAGGTCAGCTGTTGCGCTTGTCGGATATGGACATCCAGAGGCTTGGATCTTAGTGACCAGCTGGATCTGAACCTTGCAACTTGGAACTCCAAAATCAGGTCGCGAATTGAGGCTGTGGAGTCCAAAATCACTGAGGTCCAGGCACTAACGTCGTGATGTGATGGCTCCTTCTCATCTTTTTTTTCTCGCTGCATGAAAGGGGGAGCAAAGACTCCTGCGCGACCTGAAGTCCATCGTGGATGCCCACAAGCTACAGGCACTTGAATTGCTCAAATGGCTTGCAAGCGGAGTTCCTTAGAAACATCGAAGAACACCGAAGCGGAACTTGACTCACATTTGTTGCTTGGCACTTGTGCCCCTTGTTTGATATTTGCATATGCCCATTGATAACTAGCTTTTCCCAAGCTGCTTCGCTGGATTTGCGAGAAGTTATATATTTATATATATATATATGTATAGTAGGATTTGTACAGTCAGAAGGTATCGCAGGCAAGATACCAGTTGAAGCAGAAATCCTTCATCGATCCTCGATTATTGAAATCACAATCGAGTAGCAACCTCTGACAAGTCCCTTCAAGCATTTGCCAGCCGTGCCGTACGAATCAGGGAGGAATAATTGGCCGATTATATAACAACATCCCTCATGGGCCATTTGGCTCATGGCCCGGCTCCTTTAAGAATTGGATGAAGCAACACTTTGTGGAGGAACGAACATTTTGACTTCTCTGCGTAACCCTGATCTCATTTGATCTCCGTGTGGTCTTTTCGACTTCGTGCGGAGGCTGATCGAAGACTGGGCGACTTGGATACAGCACAAAGCTCCCTCGAGGAGCAGCTGCGTGAGAAGGAGCGGCGGCGAAACACGGAAGCCGACGAACAGAGGCCGGAAGTTCCAGTTTCTCTGGACGCAGCGAGGATCAAGAGAACCAAGAGGAACATAGAGGAGCAGGGTTGGAGCAGAGTATGAGTATGATGAGCCTTGAATGGTGTTTTGCTAAGTTACTGGAGGTTAAAAGATGTTAAAAGTTTAAAGGGATACAGTAGGACAATTGCCCTCACAATACAGAGAGAGAGAGAGAGACAGAGCTTCCGTTTCGGCAGGGCTCGCTTTGAAGGGCTGGACAACCGGCTGACAGAGCTTCAGGTGTCTGGCATCATTTGGTGTGTTCCCTTGCTTTCACATGTTTTCACCGTTCAGATCAACCGGGATCGACGCTTCGGAGGACTTCTTTTGGTTTTTCAGGTGAGCCAGGTAAGGCAAAAAACTTCCCTGGAGAACTTGGATGTTGCTGTGTCTGGCCTGGAGCCACTTCGCACGACAGTTGCTGGGCTCAATATTTGAATGACATGACATGGCTTTTTCACATTGTGAGAAAGGAAAACACAAATTGTGCCAAACTGAGGTGACTACCCTTCAAGGCAGCCTTGCTGCAGTGGAAGAGCAGATCAGAGCACGTGCTCAGGCCTGGAATTTGAAAGGATATTGGGTTGGAGGTGCTTTCCATGAGCTTTCCATCTGATTTTGTGTTTTCAGGAGTGGTCTCAGGACATGCAGCAAGCTTGGAACTCTCAAAACGGAGCCACGATGAGGATGAATGCCCTGGCGACGGATGTTGGAAAGCTCCAGCAAAGTTTGGAAAGTCTGAAGCTAACCACACAAACCCTTGATGCGCGTGGAGATACATTGCTCTCACATTTGTCTTCAATGGAAGGTGTGGTGCAATCCATTCAAGATCGACTTGCAGCAGGTCCTACCAGCCTTGAAGGCAGTCCACGTGCTGCCCGAGTCGAGATTCAGGAATTGGTGGCGATGTCCGAAAGTCGTACTTTGCAACGCACCAAGAGTGAAGTGGAAAGTCTAAGACTTCAACTGGTGGATTTACGCAGTTCGCTGAATGATGGCCTTGATGCGAGAACGGCTGCCACCGGAGAAGTTGAGAGAAAATCTGCATCTTTGCACGACTCTTTGCAGGCGGTGCGTGCAGAGATGAATTCCCTACGCGGTGAATCTCAAGAGGCCTCCATTAGAGAGGCTCGCCTGGGTGCTGAGGTGCGATCCGTCATGGAAACGTTGAGCGTCTTCCAATCGGAGTTGCGGGAGACGGCGGCCAAGACGGCGGGGCAAATTGCGGACTCGGCACGTTTGGAGCAAGCGATCTTGGTCTTGCAGCAGCACCAGAGAGCAAGCAACTTTGCCAATATGTCCAACATGTCGTTCTCAGAGGCAGGATCTCCGCACGCCCCACACGTAAGCTTTTCACCGGCCAAGCCACGAGTGGAGGAGCGACTTCGACGGGTGGAAGATGTCTTGGACATGTTACCGCCACAACTTCAGGAGCGACTACGGATCCTGGAGGCGTCCTCCAGTACATCTGAGGTGAAGACGAGTTCTGCAGCCACAGCGGCTGTGAATGCCGTGACCTCTTCCTTGGCCCCACAGATGGATGAGATGCGATCGCGCTTTGCCCTACTGAACCAAGAACAACAAGAGTTGGAGACTCGACTGCGAAGAGCAGAGCAGAGACTCGAGCGCTCGGCAGTGCACCAACCACCTGGGACGGTTTCTCGAGAGCTGTCACCTCGGGATCGGGAGAGCCCACGGGTCTCCGAAGAGATCGGAGCACGACTCAGTCGACTTGAAGACCTCTTGACACTTGATACTGTGGACACGAGTGCACTGGAGAGCTTTGCTCTACCGTCTGGGGCCACGTTGAGGGTCACGTTGAATTGGACAGACGAATCGATCAATGACGGGGACCTGCGAAGCGTACTCCAAGAGGTGGCAACAGTTGAGTTGTTGCGTATTGATCATGTGGATTATTCCAGTCAACTTGGACCTTCAGGCACGGTTTGCTGGTTGTCAGCCTCCAGCCCGGCTGAAAGTCAATTGCGACAGCAGCTGGAGAACCCCCAAAGTGAACTGCGCCGTCAATTGCCTGGGCTGCATGCAGAGGTTTCCTCAGTCTCAGCGATTTCAGCAAGTGTCTTGGGCCCACTCACTCGACAGCTGTCTTCTCGTGTAACCAGTTTGGAAGAAGCACAACGGCAACTGGCGGTAGGTCTCTCTGGAGTGGAGCGCCAGGTTCTAAATATTGAAGGTCGAATGGCAGGCAGTTTGGGAGTTACATCCCTGTCTCGGATGTCTCGCAACACACCAAGCTTCCCTGCATTGTCACACTCGACACACTCTACAAGCCTTTCTCCTGAGCCGAAGCATACAACCTTTCCAAAGCAAGCAACCTTTGCTCCGTTTGAGCCTGTCACTCGGACGTCTCGACGGGAAGCTGACGAGGACGGCTCCGTCCGCGACTTGGATTTTGAGGGCTTGGATGTGTCACCACAAAGAGTGATTCAAGAGGAGAGACCCACCGCTTCACAAGAGGAGGAGAGACTGCGCGAGCAGGCAGGTTGCCCGAAGCACAAAAACACACGGTTTAGTGCTTGTGTGATAATGCATGCAACGTAGTTCCGACATAGTTTGTTTGCTGGCTTGATGATGAAAGTTGAAAGAGCTTAACATACTGCTCAAGTCGTGCTGTTTCTCGGCAGGAAGCAGTTGAGCGAGTTCGGAGAGAGCTTGAAGAAGCTGAGGCCAAAAGGAAAGAGAGTGCAGAGCTCAATCGAAAGCGTATGCAAGAGGAAATTGAAGAGCGAAGGAGACTGAAAGAAGCAGAGGAAGCTGCACGAGAAGCTGAAAGAAGGCAAATGGAGGAGGATAGGCAAGCTGAGCAAAGAAGAGCAGAGGAGCAGGAAGAGAGGAGACGCAAAGCAGAAGAGATGAGACGAAAAGAGGCAGAAGAACAGATGCGCAGAGTTGAGGAAGAAAGGCGCAGGAAGGAGGCTGAAGAACGCAGGCAAAAAGAGCAAGAAGAACAGAAACAGCGAGATGAGGAAGAAAGGCGGAGGAAGGAGGTTGAAGAACTTAGACGACAGAGAGAGGAGGAGCAGAAAGTGAAAGAGGAAGAAGAAAGGCGCAGGAAGGAGGCTGAGGACCTCAGGCGAAGAGAAGAAGAAGAACAGAAAAGGAGAGATGAAGAAGAAAGGCGGAGGAAGGAGGCCGAAGAACTTAGACGAAAGGAGGCAGAGCAAAAGTTAGAGGAAGCACGAAGACTAGAGGAGCAAAGAAAGGAGGAAGAAGCGAGGCAAAAACAGCAAGAGGAGGTACGGGTAGAGGTTTAGAAGTTGCCACTTGTGGTTTGGCCACCTTAGCACCTTCCGACCTGTCTCAGGCTGCCCGTGTTGCAGTGACCCAACCGAAGCAACCACACACGCCAACATCAGCATCTCAGGCTTTACAGTCGCAGTGCGACTGTTTTGATCGTTCGCGCTTTGATGCTTCTAGGCATGTCCACTCCAATCTGATCGCTGGTTTTAGATGTTATGGGATTTTTCCAATGCGCTCCTCCCACTCTTCTCGTCTCGCTGTCGATGACGTGAGTTCTGGGGTGCTTCTGACACAGTTGGCATGTCTTTCTGGAAGGTAGGAAACAACTTGCATTCTGTTGCAAGTTTGTAGGTTGCAAAGCCTGGCTTTGACAAGCCTCGCCGGGCACGATGATTCCTCAGCTTTTCATTCAAAGGTCAGGCGGCGTGCAGTTAACGCACTTCCCAAGCATGCCAAGGAGTCACGGGTGCACCTGCAACGGCAAGGGCATCTGCAAAATCCAAGGAAGAAGACATGCAGAAGGTCTTCCCTTGCACCAAGTCAAATGCTTGCACCATTATTTCAAAGCTTTTAAGGAACTTGTTGCTAGTGTCGCTCAAGCAGTGACATGTCTTGGGGAGGTCTTCAATGCTATCGGTCCAACCAGCGGGGTCGCTTGCTTCAAGAATTTGTGAGTCCGCGTGTGGTTTGTCTAATTGGTGTTGATCGGTCTGATAACAAATGAGTCCAGCAGACCAAGACAATGCTGCCAAGGTCTTGACTCTGGAAGATTTGCAGAGCTACTTGTGCGACCATTTGGGTTTCGGACAGGCTGCAAACAGTCTCGTGCTTTGATGCAGTGACCTTGACATAATTTGACTTGCACAGGCGGAAGCAGCTTCGTTCTTCAAAGACTTTGCGGAAGGCTTTCGGCACTTACTTGTTGTCTTCCGCACTTAGTTTTTTCATTTTTATTTTTAGAGGTGACACAAAGCTTTGTACATTCTTTCTCCAAGCATTGGAGCTCGGCTCGAAGTCCTCGCTTTTCTCCTCCACCCGGATCCTTGAAGACATGGCTGCCATTGAAGATATTATGAGAGCGATCAACGAGAGCTGCCGCTCCAAAGGGCGGCATTATGCAGAGTATTCTTGCCAGGCTGAGCGCTCAATTTCGTTCGATTGCAGTGACTTGAATTCACGAAATGGTGCCAAACAAAGCGTGTCTTTATTATATAGATGCCATATCTTTTAGGAGATGCAATCCTTTTCAGTGAAATGAGCAACGGATCGCACAGGTTGTATCTTGGGATGATGTGTGTCGTGGAGAAGATGATGGTGAGCTGTCGTGCTGGGGGCCCAACATCACTGACACCTACCTCAAGAGCAAATGTGGAACAAACCTCTTCACAGTCCGAAGTGACAACTGGAACGAACGTCTGGGAGTGGTTTCAGCTGCAGATGTAGCAGTTGTGGCTGCAAAGCCTGGAGGTGAGTTGACGCCGGTGACCTTGCGCACTGTGCTCCAAGAACTTGGGGAGTTTGGGTCTTATGCAGGTCTGCAGGTCCCTGATTTCTCTGACAGCCATCTCGATGCCAAGTGCTCTATCCGATTCCAGACGACCTTTATCCCGGTGCAGGAGTCTTTGTCGGGTGCTGGCAAGTTGGAGTTTGCAACAGAAGCCTACAATTACAACACCATGGATGATGCTGATCCACGGAATTTAGTGTTGCTGTGTACCAGCCAGGGTATGGCAGTTCAGCAAGATGGATTTGGGCAAAAGCAGCTTTTTCATCATGCTGTTGATGATGATGGCAACATTCATCGCTATTGGCTTGAGGCTGAAGAAAGCAAACACAAAGTCGGGGGAGAGCAGCGAGAGACTGCGGAAGAGCGAGCAGAAGCACACGCGCGGGGGAAGGCGACCTCCAGTGTGATTGGCATCAGAGCAATGGGGCAGAGGTTCAACGTGCTTATGACAATTCAAGTCCCTTTGAAGCAGAAAAACCCCGTTTGTATGGCTGAGGAGGCGTGTGGCTGGTGTGGCTGTGAGGATTCTGATGAGGAGGACGACTTCTTCGACCGTGGCGTGGAAGCTCGGAGCGCTCCGAGTTCGACATGCCGAGTTGGACAGAGCAGTGCTGCTCGAGTGTCTCGCGGGTCAGAATTCGATGTCTGGCCTGGTCTTTCTGTGGAGTTTCCCGAGCGCCATCCATCTGAGCATGTGACTATCACAGTGGTCATGTACAATGCAGTGAAAGGCGGTGTCCCTAGTGCAGATGACGTGGCTGCAGCTATAGATGACTTGGAAGCTTTGTACCAGTCATGCTCTGAGACTGGCTTGCTAGCTGAAGGGATCATGAGCTTCATGAAGGAACCATTGAAGGCAGAGGACCTGTACGATATTGCCAACAAGCTGGCATTCCAACCTCCTGTACCAATGGTGGTGGGCCATGACACATTTCCAGCTTGAAGAGATTGAGCGTTCTGATTGGGCAACCCACACTTGGTATGTACAGAAGTGCCTGAAACGCCGGAAAGATCTTGCTAGCGCACCTGCCATGTACAGAAGGCATTTTGGCTTGCTAGCTCGGTCAGGCTGGACTGTAGAAAAAAAGGTGCTCCCGAACACAAAAAAAGCATGCACATGGCGCATGGGTTCGCTCTTGAAAGGTCAGATGACTCCAAATGTATAATGTATATGCCAGTGGACCATGTGCAGAGGACTCACATTCGCGATGTATGGTGTTGTCTAAGCCGTCTTGACGACAGGTGATGGAGTTTCCTTTGAAAGCTTCAAGAAGGGCTATCCTCGCAATAGTCTGAGCTTGCAACCTTTCAAAGATCGCGCAATTTAAGCCTTGATGGTCTGGAGGGCCTGGAGCCTTTGCGCATGGCCGCCTGGCATAGTGGTGCCTCCAAGGATTGAACCCATTCCTGTTGAGCAAACGTTGGAACCTCAAGTGGTTCAAAACGAAGAAATACTGCCACAGAAGTTTATCGAGGTCAAAATGAAATGCTGGTCCGAAAGTCTGGCTCGCTGCGAGCTCGGATATCTACCAAAATCATCGGCATAATAAAACATAATTAATATATGGTTGATTGTCCCCATAACTAAACACGAATCAGTTGTATATCCCACGTAGCTTTGGGCTCGACAGGGTCCATGCGAGTGTGCGCCCGCTGCCAGAAGTGGCGTCTTCTGGAAGGGCAGTGCACCGTGTGTGCATCCGTCGAACGCCTGAGGGCTGCGGCAGCGAGTTCAAGGCTGCCGACCACCTTGGAAGCCGAGGCCAAGGTGACCAAGATCCTCGATAGCTGCTACTACTCGATCGCACGTCTCTTCCCGGAATCGGACGAGGATTCTGATAAGGGAGGAGTTCCTCCTAGACGGAAAGCAGCAGAGGGCACTTCGAAGGGAGAGAAATCTCCCAAAGCGAGACCAGGTAGCAAAGAAGCGGGTGAGGAGACCCCGGAGGGTAGCAAGAAGGTCGAGAGCCCGAAGGAGGAGAAAGAGGAGAAGAAAGTCAACATCAAGGAGGAGAAGCAGAAGGCCGTTGAGTCTGCGAAGAGCGAAGGAAGTAAGGTATTACCCAAAAGGAAGGAAGACGAGGAGGGAAAGAAGGCTAGGAGCCGAACGCCAGTGAGACAGAAAGAGAAGGACAAAAGGAAAAAGGAGAAGAAAGACAGTAGATCAGGATCGGTAAGTGGGTCAAGGACAAGAAAGAAGAAAAGGGAGGACCATTCCCCCCAGAAGGCTGAGGAGAGAGGACAAAGGTCAGAGGCACGGCCCAGTTCTGGGATTCAGAGGGAGGCATACCTTCGACCTCGACCCAGTCAGAGAGAACCAAGAGCCCCGAGGACTCCTGACCATCCACCGCCCAGGACTTCGTTGATTCCCCCTGCCACAGGTCGAGGAATAGATCGAGGTCAAGGTTGGCGAGGCCCAGTTCACTATTCCAGTCATCCACGCTGGAGTGAAGGGACAAACAAAGGAGTGACGAAGAGAGCGAAGCAGGAACTCTACGACCGAAAGCAGTCGAGGAGTCGGTGGTGAGGGGAGCAATGGCTCCCAAACTACGAAGGCCTGCAGCCATGCCAGCCCGCGTGAGGGCCCTGAGGAGGCCGGCGAGGGCATCAGGTGAGGCAGAGGAGGAAGAAAAGAAACCCACTACAGAAGAGTACAATACCCTGGCATCGTTGACCCTTGAAAAGTTGAGGTCGTTGGACATTGTTGAGCTGGGTGAGACATCGTATTATGGGGGGCATGCAAAGATAGCCGGCAGGATTCGAAGTCTGAGGCCTGCGGAGGAGGAGATTGAGTTCGAGCTGAGCGGCACTTTGACAGATCGTGTTCTCGAGCGGTTTGGAGGAGGAAGCACGAGGCTTGTGAAGGTGCATGCATGCCCTGAAGGGTGCCCGCAGTTGATGACAGGTGACACCTACTTCCATGCAAGGGGCTATTGGGACACTAGGTTGGCCCCCAAGCCCTGGCATACGAATCTCATACCAGCCAAGGGTGTAGTTGAAGAGGAGGTGGATGAGCTGGCCGGACTTCGAGAGCTCGCTGTTGAAAGAGGAAAGGGAAGGGGAGGCAGCAAACCTCCCAAGGAGGATGAGCATAAGGAGAAGAGCAAGTCGCCGGCAGGTGGAGATGAGAAGAGAGGGAAGAAGAGGAAAAGAAAGGAGAGGACGGCAGAGAAGGAGTATGACGACCTGCTGGCAAAGAAAGAAGAAGTAGAAGAGCTTGATCGGGGGCAAAAGACCGCGAGGGCCCTGTTCAGCAATACCTGCTTGGACCCGAATGTACCGCGGCGGAAACGCCTCATGAGGAAAGCGAGAAAGGTGAGTAAGAAGAAGGACAAGAAAAGGAAGAGGTCAGACTCCGGTGACTCAGGGTCGTCAAGTTCCTCATCAAGTGGCAGTGAAAAGGGGTCGGAGGAGGAAGGACCACTCTTCGACGAAACCCGGAGGATCAGGCGGCTCAGCGAGAAGTGCCCAGGTGCGTTGGCAGCTCAGGCCATCGAGAATGTTCGTGACCACCTTCTGTCGTCGCGAGGGGAGCTGCACAGTGTGTCACGAGAGCAACTCAATCCGCTGTTTTCGATGTACGCGCACCAGCACTTACAACCACTTGCATCGCCGGTGCTATGGCAAGAATTGGCCACTGTCGCGCAGGTGTCGGACCTGCTCCTTCGCCGGAAGGTGGCGACTGCGCTGGACGTGCTCGTTCAACGGGCAAAGTCGCTTGAGGCGACCCTACGTGGCGGCCATTTTTCAGTATCGCGCCAGCTGGAGCTCGTGAATTCGGAACAGGTGCGCATCGCAGAGCCGGCCGAGCAGATGGAGGCCGCAAAGAGCGCGCGTGAAGAGTTTCGAAACCGATCCATCGGCAATCGACCTCATGGGATGACCCAACGAGGGGAGGGTGATCAGCCTCCCAAAGGACGTGGCAAGCCTGTGCCGACCTCGGAGCCCTCTTACAAGCAGAAAGGAGGAGAAAAAGGAAAAGGAAGGGAGAAGGGCAAATGGGGAAAGAAAGCGAAAGAAGACAGTTAAAAAGGAGGGCTGAGGAGGGGAGCACAGGCATTGAGACGAGAGGGAAGGAAAGAGAAGGGTCAAAGGCAGACATTGCAAGGGAGAGTCAGGGAAGAGAGAAAGGAAGAGGAGTTGAGGAACAGAAGATTGAAGAAGCTATTGAGGAGATGTTGACTGAATGCTACCAAAAGGCTTTTGAAAGGAGTGAGACGGGTGAGGACTATGACCTTGGAGGCGAGTCTAGTAGCCGCAAAAGGCAACTGGGCACACCGGGCCAAGGAGGGGAGACAGCAGCAGCCTCCCAAGCTGATGTGAGGAGTAAGCAATTGGCAGGCTTGGGCCGCCGACAGCGCCGAGCTTTGGCTGAGGAGAAGCTGGAGAGAGGTACAGGGGAGGTTTTGAGATCCTCCCAAAATGCATGTGGGCCTTCACCGCGACCGGATTTGAAGCCAAGCCGTGGAGAAGACCTTTTTGCCGGGCAGCCCTTGTCACGACTGGCTTTGAGGCCGTGCCGTAACGAGGATGCATTGACAGAGCATGTTGGCCACAAGTCGTGGCAGATGGCATTGAAGAGCGCTTGCGCCAGAAAAGAAAGCTTGTGGAGTGATCTAAGCCCCGCACTGTCACAGTCCCTGGAGGTGTTAGCAAAGACCACGCGTTGCGGGCAGTCCACGGAGGGGCTCTTTCCCCTCCCGCTTCCGGGGAGTTTAGGATGGTGCGAAAGTGAAGATCCCCTGTTGGAAGGGCTTGTCAGAGGGTTGAACAGTCTTTATGGGGTCGCGTCAACTGAAGGAAGGAAGGTTTCGAAGGTGCAGAAAAGGGTCATGGCAAGATTGAAGGAAGTTCTTAGGTCCAGTGGCTTGCCCCGCGCATTGCTACCAGCCCTTTCGTTCGGAGAGTTCTTCACCACCAAGGGCATTGATTATTCAGGTGAGGAGGTCAGAGTTGCCCGGTCTTTCCAATGGAAGATGGTTGCTGCAGCTTTCCCAGAGGGTGTGGGTTCTTTAGATTTGTTGAGCTTTTGCGAAGGGGGGCACCCTTTCCTATGTGTCAGAGTTTGAGAACTTCCTTCTGCCGCCCCAGGATCAGCGCCTTGGAAAGACGCCTGCCACCATGGTCAGCCAAGAGCACTGCGCGGAGGTGTGCCTGGGACTGGTTGATCGGGGGGTGTGTGGCCTCATGAAACGGGAACAACTCTACCATGTTAAAGGTCATCCAGTTCTCAACGGACTTTTTGCTGTAGAGAAAGGAGAGAGAGCTGTGGATGAAGGTGGAGAGGAATTTGAGGTCTGTAGGCTTATTATGAATTTGGTGCCAACCAATGGGCTGTGCAGAAACTTGGCGGGGGACACCTCTACGCTCCCTACGGTGACGGGGATGTCAGGAACTGTCTTGGGAGACGGGGAGCTGCTGTTGACGTCATCTGAAGATATAAGGTGTTTTTTCTATTTGTTTCGGACGCCCCCAGAGTGGCACCGGTTCATGGGCTTTGGAAGGGAGGTCCCGCAAGAGGGTCTCCCAGCTGGCTACACCGGCAAAGGGTGGCATCTTGTCAGCAGAGTCTTGCCTATGGGGTTCATTAACTCTGTTGCAATCGCTCAGCATGTCCATCGCAGGGTGATTCAGCAAGCCCTTGGAGGTGAAAGAAAGCTGGCAGGAAAGCGTCAAGAGATAAGGCGTGATCGACACCAGAGCTCGGCAGCCCATCAGTACAGGGTTTATCTCGACAATTATGATGAGTTGAACAAGGTGGACAAGCACTTGGCTGAGACGTTGAAAGGAACTCCATCGGCCTGGTCATTGGCAGTGCGTGAGACATACCAGCAGTTGGGATTGCCTAGACATCCGAAGAAGGCAGTCACCCAGGAGATTCGCGCTGAGGTGCAAGGTGCTTGGGTGGACGGTGAATTAGGTCGTGCGGCTCCGAAGTTGGAAAAGGTAGGTAGGTATGTAAGCCTGGCTCTTGAGATCTGTGCAGCTGGCAAGGCATCGCAACGGGAACTGCAGGTAGTTGGAGGTGGTTTCGTCTACATTGCTATGTTCCGGAGGCCTCTGTTGTCCGGGCTGAATGCAGTGTGGAGACAGGTGACTGACTTGGGGCGTTTTGGTCCAACGGCCAAGAAGGCCTTGCCGCAGGAGGTGGCGCTTGAGTTGCTGAGGTTCGTTGCTTTGACTCCGTTGGCGTACATGGACTTTCGCCTGGCTACATCAGAGCTAGTGACAGCCAGTGACGCATCCACTACAGGAGGAGGGCTGTGCGTGAGTAGGGAGCTCAGCCCGTTTGGCGTCGCAGCGTGTCAGGCAGAATGTCGCGGAGATGTCGTTGAGCCAGAGGAGATGGACCAAGTCCTTGTCGTGTCACTTTTTGACGGCATCGGGGCACTCAGGGTGGCGTTGGATGCGTTGCGCGTGCCAGTCGGAGGGTATGTGTCAGTGGAGATCTCTCCAGAGGCTAATCGCGTGGTTGAGTCTTTCTTCCCTGATGTTGTTTGTGTAGGAGACGTGGCTAGCATCACGAATGAGGACGTTCTGCAATGGAGGATGCGCTTTGCGAATGTTGGACTTGTGCTTTTAGGTGCTGGGCCGCCTTGTCAAGGCGTGTCTGGGTTGAACTCCGATCGTAAGGGTGCGTTGCGAGATGAGCGGTCTTGCCTGTTCCAGCATATCCCCAGGGTGGAGGCGTTGCTTCGGGCACATTTCAAGTGGTGCCCTGTGCACAGGCTGGTTGAGAATGTGGCATCGATGGACGTGAGTGACTGCGTGGCTATGTCTTCTGCCTATGGCACTATGCCCTGGAGCATTGACGCGGGTGGAATCAGTCTAGCACGTCGACCACGTCTCTACTGGTGTAGCTGGGAGCCGTTGAGCCTTGAGGGTGCAAAGGTCGTTGAGGGGAGAGAAGGTTCCCTCCCAGTCAAAGGCAAGGTGGTGCTTGAAGCAGAGGTGGACGAGCGCGACTTCCTGGAACCCGGGTGGCAGCGAACTCGACCAGACACCCCGTTTCCTACGTTCACCACGTCTCGGCCTTCCATGGTTCCCGGACGCCGGCCGGCCGGGTTGGCCCTCTGTCCACCAGACGCAGTGTCGAGGTGGAAGGCAGACCTTCATCGCTTTCCACCATACCAATACCGCTCTGAGAATTGCGTCAGCAATCGCCAAGGTGAGGTGCGTGTCCCGTCAGTCAAAGAGAGGGAGGCGATCCTGGGTTTTCCATTGGGCTACACCCGGCGGTGCTTTGTCAAGAGCATGGAAGGCAGCGCAGCTCACAACGACTGTCGTTTGACGCTCCTTGGGAACAGTTGGTCAATTCCTGTGGTTGCATACTTGTTGTACTGCCTTTTCAGGACGCTGGGCCTGCTACCGCCTTTAGGCCTGACCGTGTTGGTGGAGAGGTTGACGCCTGGTCGTGAACAACACTTGTCTAGCCTCTTGATGAGACCCCCGGTGCGTCAAACTACGAAGGCAGGCAGCTCACAGTTGAATCTGGTCACGCGGCTGCTGGGACAAGTGTCGGTCAAGGGAGAGGACATCCTGCTTCAACTGGGATCAGATCTCCCAGCTCGCTATCATCGTTTGCGGGCGTCCATCCCCAGTAAGCTCTGGCGGTGGAAAGATGTAGCAGGTTGGCGTTGGACCGGAGACGTTGAGCACATCAATGCACTAGAGTTGCGTGCAGTCAAGACGGCCATTGTGTGGAGATTGAAAGAGCTTGAGGAGTGCAATTGTCGTTTCCTGCACCTGGTGGACTCTCTAGTTGTGTTGCATGCCTTGTCTAGGGGGAGATCATCGAGCCGAAGGTTGAGGAGAACATTGTGTCGAATCGGAGCGCTACAGTTGGCAGGAGGACTTGTTGGGGTCTGGGGGGTACGTGGATACCCACCAGAACCCGGCCGATCGGCCCTCGCGCCGACCTCTTCGCAAGAAATGGGTAAGAAGACCACGAAAGTAATGGAAGGAAAAAGCCAACAAGAGCGCAAGAAGGTTCGAAGCAAGCTAGGTTCTCTCAAAGGGCTTACCGTGCAGCCCCGTACAAGGCAACGCTACACAGAATGTCTCAATCGTTTCTTCGACTGGATGGCAGGGGAGGGCTTGGCCCTCCCAAAGCAGCAGAACCGACTAGATGCCTTGGTCAGTGACTATCTAGAGCATCTGTGGGCCTCAGGAGAAGGCAGATCCGTGGCTAACAACACCCTTGCAGCTTTACAAGACCGAGACCCTTCACTGAAGAAGAAGCTACCTGGTAGTTGGAGGTTGCTCAAAGCGTGGACCACCGTTGAAATCCCTAATCGGGCACCGCCCATGACCGTGCAGATCCTCGATGCTCTATGCGGCTGGTCCATTTTCAATGGCTGCCCCGAATTTGGCTTGTCCCTCCGAGTTGCCTTTTATGGCCTACTTCGCACCGGTGAACTACTGAGTTTGCGAGCCAAGGATGTTTTCATTCCTGGACCCAAGGGGCCAGCGGTGCTTTCGCTGGGTCTGACGAAGGGAGGAGCTCGTCAAGGAGCTGCAGAGAGTGTGACGCTGCATGAGCGGTCCATCCTCCCAGACCTTTGGAAATGGAAACAACGTGCCACTTCTTCCCAATTTTTAACCCTCAAACCACATGCATGGCGAGCGCTTTTTAGCAAAGCCACTGAGGCACTCAAATTGAATGACCTGCATTTAAGACCTTACAGTTTGCGCAGAGGGGGCGCGACGTTCTGGTTTAACCAGCACGGTTCTTTCGATAAATTGCTCGTGCAAGGCCGGTGGGCCGCAGCACGTACGGCTCGAGTGTACCTCAACGACGGCCTAGCACAGTTGGCCGACATGTCTCTGTCTAATTCGTTTTTAATTCCTTACGTGAATCTCTACCGCAGGAGCCCAAACCTTGAGCCTGGACCCCCTCAAGGGGGGTCCAGGTCAGGGGGGACGTGGAGCCAAAGCCAGAAAGAGTCGAAAGTTGAATTGTTTGTGTTTTTCTGTCATGCGCACGTCGATTTCTCGGAGTTGAGAAGTCGGAGAAACCTCCCATCGAGGCTGGAGTGAGTCCGGGAAGGGTTTCCCTCTCATTAGGTGCCTGAGCCTAGGGAGCATCGGGTTTGGCTGATGCGGCCCTAGGGGGCACAGGGGGGCTCTCTGTTCCTGTCGGTTTGGCGAGGGAACAGAGAGTCGGGGCCCCGAGAGGTCCGTAGGAAGTATATCCTTGTTGAATTCTAGACAAACATTCTGCAACGCGTGGGAAAATAAGCTGAGGTCGTGTTTGGTTGATTGTCCCCATAACTAAACACGAATCAGTTGTATATCCCACGTAGCTTTGGGCTCGACAGGCCCTCCCACTGCCTCCCTTTCGCTCACTGCTCAAAGCACGTGAAGCCAGAAAGAGTCGAAAGTTGAATTGTTTGTGTTTTTCTGTCATGCGCACGTCGATTTCTCGGAGTTGAGAAGTCGGAGAAACCTCCCATCGAGGCTGGAGTGAGTCCGGGAAGGGTTTCCCTCTCATTAGGTGCCTGAGCCTAGGGAGCATCGGGTTTGGCTGATGCGGCCCTAGGGGGCACAGGGGGGGCTCTCTGTTCCTGTCGGTTTGGCGAGGGAACAGAGAGTCGGGGCCCCGAGAGGTCCGTAGGAAGTATATCCTTGTTGAATTCTAGACAAACATTCTGCAACGCGTGGGAAAATAAGCTGAGGTCGTGTTTATATATATATATATATAAATATTTCCATCTATTTCCGACATTTCAATTTCTCAACCACTTGTTTAAATAGGAGTTTGATTGACTCTCTGACTTCCTGTGTGTTTTCCCGGAAAGGTTGAGTTCATGTGGCCCTCAAAGTTTGCAAGTGGAGGAACTCGATGACTGCGAGGCGCCTGTTTTTGGAACATGGCAAGATCAGAAAGCTGCCACGATTATTGCAGATCGAAGCACCGTGCTCCAAAGTAGATTTACAATGCTTCATGTTCCTTTGCAGCTGCAGCTAGAATAGCTGACCGGGTCTTGCAAAAAGATGGACAAGGGGTAATGGGGGGCAATCACAGCGAGTGGCTCATCAGGCTTTCACGTTTGAACGAGTCAATGACTTGCAGATTCCATGTTTAAGAGATAAGGGGAATTGTTTGGTATGGCAGAAAAGTGGCCACAGAAGCAGATCATGCTCCTATGGCTTCACCAAACCAAGGGTGCATTGCAATCTACTCTTGGGATTGCAATGGTCGCTTTGCTTGTGTGAGACTTCAAGCTGTGGCTGTTCAGAGAGACAGGTGTATGTGTGTGAAGTGACCAATACCATTTTTGTTGACGAATGCCTCGAGCTGAGTGACACAGCAAAAAGAAGCTCGCAAAAATAGTCAGTCGGCTTTTTGGTCACGGGCATGAGGCAAGCGGTGCGCTATGCTTATCGGTTTCGTCCCGAGTGTGGCAAGGTGGAAGGGACAGCGGCATAAATGCTTGTAAGATACTCAAGCATTCCTTTCCTGGTTTGGAATGGCTTTGGCTTTCAGGTCCTTGCGAAACCTCCGTATTCGTTCGGGACTGCTGCTGGGCTGCGTTCAAATCCACCATGCCCCTTCTTTCAATAGTTTCACGACCGGAGCTTTTTTCACCAGGTGAGGATTGTGTCTTTTGGCCCAAGCCTAAGAGATCGAACGTTCCAAGAAACTGACGTGTTTTTTTTGATTTCTGTTTTTTTATTCTTCCAGTTGTGTTGTCGAAAATCTGGAAGGACACTTCCTGGAACTTAAACAGGTCCAGGAAGCTCTTTGGTGATCTTTGGTGCACATTGTTTGTCCATATCGCCGCTGCGAGCTGAGGATTGCAGCTCAGCAGCTGCGCACCAGAGGCTGCAAGCGCTGCAGCTTCTTTCTCTACTCCAAGTGAGGAACTGAGCTACAAGGTTTTTCAACAGGGTACTTACGAAGGACGTCATACTTATACAGGATCAAGGGAACATCTCCGACCTCCCACATAAAAGGAAAACATCCAAGGATCCTGACATGTCCTTTCATACATACGCCAAGAGGATCCAACCATGTTCTTTGAACTCCTTTCCATTCAGGCCATTCAGGTCAAGTCCATGTGGCCAAAGCACAGCCATGTGCGATGCCAAGGACAGAACCTGTGATCGAGGCCTCAGAGGATTTGGTTCGGCGCACAGCTTTGCAAGACAAATGAGACAAACATGTTTGTTTGTATGAGGATTTGGTTTTTAAACGTTTTTGACTTGTGACAGGATCCGTCCCCAAAATGTGTGAGGAACGTATGAGGAAAGCAGCTTCAGTTCCTCGCACTTCCTTCGTCCAGTGCGCTCCGCCTATTGGAGACATGTACTTGTCCCAGGCTTTTGCACCCTGGAGTGCCAGCTATCCCAGTGCCAAGGCCCCCGAAAATAGCTGGGGAAAAACTTCGGAGAGTTCTTAGGATAGAATGAGTGGATCTTTTCGAATCTCTTTGGTTCCGAAGAGCTAAGCAATTCAGCAATAAGAAGACCGAACGAATAGCAGCTTAGCTGACTTAATTCAAACACGGGCGACGGGGGGACCTGTTTGTGCCAGGCACACTTCAACCGGTTCGGCTTCAATCCAGTCGTGGCCTTGATGTATTATGTCATGGTTGTGGCTTAACTCTCATTCGGCCCAGGAAGTAAACCTTTGGAATGCAATCTATGACTTCTCCGGCAAAGTGGGGAAATGCAACTGGCCTGCCCCATAGTGAGAAGTCAAGTTGAAATGCATGCAGACACGAAGGATAGGATAGGAAGGGCCAACAAACCAAGGAGAATCATGGGCTTGGAGAACGTGGCACACGTGGAAGTTGAGCTTGAGGATTTGCCACGTGACTGCAAGCTGCAAACAACCTCCCTTCGCCTTCCAAGAAGAATCCTTCAAACCAATAATAATGACAAGCTTAGTGTTGACACTCGCAGGATCCACCTCCAAGACCGTCTGCTGAGAATCCGGCCACAAGGTAAGCCGCTAAGACGGGTCCGTGTCGAAATTTCACATCCAAAGGCTTTAAAGGGTCGTTCCAGATTCCAGACAGTTCATCATGCGATCATTCGGATCCTTTTGGTGTGATCACTCTTTTTTTCAGGATACCCAGCTTGCAAAGCTGGTGATGGCAGATTATGGGGTCATCATGAGTCGCAGCATGTCATAGCGAAGCATCCAAGTCTGCCAGTCTGGGCTTGGCCATGATGTGAGGTTGGTGACCTTCGAGGCTCTGTGTGCTGCACCTTTGGAGTCTGGTGAATCCTGTGGTGGAGTCCTAAGAAACTGTTTGATTTGTTCTTGGTTGGAGGTTTCCTGCAGCGCAGATGGCTGAGGTCAAAGTGTCGGTACCATCCCTCAAACGCGGCCCTCTCTTCCTCCAGCTCCACCGGACAGCTTCAAGGAGGCGAAGGGGGATTCCCCTGGAAAACACCAAGCAAACGGTCCCCGCATTGCTGCGCTGGTGCAGCCAGGTCAGCAAGCTCCATGTGTCCGGCTGCTCAAGTGGAAGAAGCTTTTGGTGGGTTCTGGAATTGCCTAATCTTTCGGGATGAGCCCACCTGCAAGTTGCAATCAGATGCTACAAACAGTCAAAAAGAAACCTCACGTACGACCAAAGGGTCTTCCCCGTCACCGGGTTCTGGAATGGTCTCGTGTATGAGAGCAGACAGTTTCTGGCAATTTCTTGCTACACCTTTTAGATGTTAGCCATGGACCCAATGGAGGTCTAAAATGGTCAAGATCAAGATTCGACATGATTCATGACATTTTTTTACTTGATCGAAACAAGCTGGCGGCTGGCCCAGCTGAATCTAATTCTGTTATTTGTCGTGTGTGGTCAAACAATAGACCGATATTCTTCCGGGGCGTAGAAACACCATTGGGCTGTAGGGTTTGAGAAAGATTGCCAAACGATGGATGTGCGCACTTGAACGTCCGATTTGTTGCATCCAGGCAAGATGGGGCAGAGCTCACGATCCTGGAACAAGTGCGATGACCTTGGTTGATCATTGGCCATTCGTTTCGTGTTACTATGGTGTCTCTTCTCCTATTGAAACGTGTGACACATGCGATCCTCTTTCGCCGAGGAAACACCTTGGCAAGCATGAATCGAAGGCGCCACCTCGTTTGCGTGCGTACGCTGTCAAGGTCCTGACCTCCCCCATTGGTGTGGCCAAACTCTTTCCTGCAATACTATAACCTTAACACCGCCTGACACAAAAACACCATATAGTTTCCCACATGTTTTAGTGCTCGGAACCCTGCTCCACAAAATCCATTTGGCCCATTTTTTGTATCCGCATTGTTTCTTTCTTTCTGCAGGCCCCTTAACCTTTGATTTCACCCATGCCTAGCCCTCTTATATAGTCTTTGGAATCCCTCATGAAAAGAGATTGCGTCTGAGGGATCTGGGATTTCGTCTGAGGGATCCTCCACATTGATCAAGGGGTGGTTTCACATGATTTAGTTCGACCTTTTGACCTGGTGGGGGCAGGTTATTCTTCCTCCCCTAACCACTGCAAAGTTGCTTGGACATCACGTCTAAGTAGACATAGCTTGTTCCACTCTAGGCTGCAGCTTCAAGCTCTCACAAGGGTGTGTGGGACTCAGAACTGACAGAAGTGCAGTGACCGAGGGAGAGATGTCAAGACGCGTTAGTCCTCCGTGCATAGTCTACACATGAAAATACCATTTGCATACCAAAATTCACAGTTGGGCCTGGCCTTGTGCCAGATCTCAAGATACAGTGAAAAGAGTGCCGTCACACAAGCTGATCAGCAGTGTAGGCCAGTAGATCCAACATAATCCAAAAAGTGTATGAGGTATTGAAGTACTGAAGTACGTTCCTGCCTCTGCTGTCGGTTTTCCTGGCTGTGCTTGTTTCGTCCTCTTTGCTGGCTCGTTGTTATCAGCCCTTTTTTGTAGCCTCGTGCAAAGACATCAACAACTCAAACCAAGGCAAATCACACGCTTCAGGGACTGTTGAGTATCACGGAGCAAGCATGAATGTCCATTGAGCAACAGTTCGAACTTTGAACCGATGGACGTTGACAGCTGCCTCAAAGGTGAACGCAAGAGCAAAGAAAAAGGCAAAAAACAAGGGTAAAGCAGGCGACGAGAAAGGAAAGGGCCAGCGGCTATTGCAAAATCAGCAGAGTTGAAGCTGCTAGCCTTGCGGGTACGCAGAGTACAGCTTTTGTGAACAGATGGCCTCATTACATTGACTACATGGCTGTACATGGCTGCATAACTTCTGTTTTGTCGGGGATGTTTGTCGTACTTCGTTCCGCTCCAACTAAGTACAAGTGTTTGCGGAGGAAACGTCAAGAATCGCTCCGTGCATCCTCTAGATACCCTACCACATGCACTTCTATTTGTACTGCGGCTACACCTGCGGCTACCGGGTCAAACTACAAGAACGCCTGCGTCATTGCACGGATTCTCTAATCCGCTCCTAAAGTTTCAGCCACTTGAAGTTGCAAAATGCTGGTTTTAGTTTTGGACAAAGTCCGCTCGCCGGCTTCCCAGGGCCTGGCCATGGCAGCCCTAGCTGGCCAGACGTTGATGGAGGCACCGGAACGATGCACCTTGCTGGGCAGGTGAATTGCTTTTGGCCCTGTGCAGGCAGCAGGCGGCCCGGAGCAGGCCAAGGCATGCACATTGCTCGAACTCAATCCAGCTGCTTTTCCTGAGTGGAGTGATGAGTTGGGGCAGGGTGCTGAGAGAGTCACTCCAGCAACTGCCACCTCTGCCGGCGCCTCAGATATGGTATGATTGGAATATGAATGGTAAGAATGAGTATGAGGCATTCTTACAAAACTGGACAAGCAAATCCACAAAGGTGTGACACCTCCATCCGAGTTGGAGCTGAGGCCCTTGGAATGGCATCTCTAGCCGGACAAGCCTTGATGGAGGCCGGAGCTGGTTTCTTTTTTTTGGAACGGCCCAGCGGTGGCCTTTCTTGTGCTGTACAAGGCAGCTGGAACGACGGTGGAGGGAACGATGGATGTCGATGAGGATGAAAGCAGCGGCGACTCTCCGAGGTCACAGTGAACGAGCAAAACGCGTTTTTTCGTCCGAGAGCCCCGACCTCCTACTTAGTAGGCGCCTACTAAATTGGACAAGGGAGTAAGCTACTAGACATGGATGCAGGATAGCTCACACTTCTTCAAGGAAGCTCCCCCCGCCTCAGGGCGAGGGGAAGCTTCCTTGAAGAAGCACTCACACTAATGATTTGGCTCCTAGATTTTTACCCACACTCAACTTATAGCAGGTTTTTGGGTAAAGGCTTTCTAGAACAGGTTCAGGGATAGAGTTGAAGATTCTTTAAGGCATTGAACGGCCATTTTGCTTGATATATATATATAGACGATATATTCCTTTAGGAATTCGTTTGCGATATCTCGTGTCTCATGACTGAATCTCCTGCAGGATTTCTAAAACACCTCTGGTGAAGAGTGCGCCCCCGAAGCCAACCGTCACGACTGCTGATGCTGAGGCCCAGCGCACAAAAGCAGTCAAAGCCAAAACTTTTAGACTGGCATGGTGATGGTGTCACAACATATTTTACAATTTTTGTGTATACTATATATATATACATTCAAGGACGCATATCAAGGCTTCCTATATGTGCTCTTCAACATCAAGTCATGTTATCGTGCTGCTACAATTGGTTTTACACCAATGTTCAGCCTGTGAGGGTGTGTTATTTTATATAGAACTCACAGGTTCCCCGAGAGAGACACACTCGGCACATCAACTTCCTGCTCAGAGCCACAGTGACAAAGTTGTTGAGTGGTTAGCATGCAGTGTCATATTCACTCATTTCATTGGGGCAGTAAATGGACAACCATTGAGCTTGAACTCATGTGGTATGGCTGCAACTTGTATCGTGGTTGTTGGTTTCCACCCACAAAAAGGAACACCACTTTTGCGCTGGTCTTGATTTGTACGGTATGAAGCTTGCAATGGAGCTGCTAAGAGCACGACGACCAGGACACAAACCTTACTAGTTTCTCTCACCTCCTCAGCCATTCCCGGTTTTTGCCATGGCCGCAGCCGACGTAGTGGACAGCCAGTTGCGGAACACTGTGCGCTCAGCAAGGGCACGTTCTTTGCGATGTGTGAAGGCGATTCTGACCAAACGAGCTTTGCCGATGGACTCGAGTGAAACGAGTCACTCGAGCTACACGCTGGCGTTTGCCAACTCAGCCCCAGATGAAGGGCAAAGCTTGGACAAGGAGTTTCAGCGCTGCATCCGAAGTCTTTTGGAGCCGGACAGACCGAGTTTTTTGCTCTTCCGTGCTGATCTCAATGAGAACATTGATGGAGGTCGGTGGCTTCTTCTTGCCTGGCTTCCGGATGTGGTACCAGAGGTGGATCGTGTGAGGTATGTTCGAAGCCGAGGTCTGTTGGTGGACTTGGTGCCCCAACCATACTTCCTTTGTGAACTTTTACTGCGACAAACTTCACAGCTGGTGTGGTCTACGGCAGCTGCAGCACTGAGGCCGAGGCCCATAGACAGTGACCGACCGGAGTCAACAGTGGATGGGGCCTATCCGCGTTCGACTGTGACGATGGAAGGGCCAGTGCGGATTTCCCAAGCAGCACAAGGCTTATTGCGGAGATTGGCAAGCAGAGAAGAATGCTGTTGCTGTGAGAGCCACAACACTTTTTCAATTCAAAATTCAATACTAAGTTGCAAAACACAGCTTGTTAGGTTGGTCAACATTTGGGCAGGGCGAGGACAGATTTGGAACAAATCTTCACTCATATGTTCGCCCTTGATTCAGCTGAGGTTTGAGGTTGGTCTTCTCTGGGCGTCTCTCATTGAAGCGTCTCGTCACTATGCCCACCATTGCAGAGCAATCGGCCACCCCCTCAATGCTCAGTGCTCCTGTGATAGAAGCCAAGGTCATCGAATGCAGGAGTCCTGCTCAGCTTGCAAAGACCGAGCTGCCTGCTACCTCTTGCTACTTTGCTTTGTACACACAGGATGACCTGGTCTTTGTCCACTGGTGTCCTGACAGGATGTCTAGGGATCCTTTTACACGCATGCGCGATGACTCACGCTATGCAGTGCTGAAATCTTCGGTACTGAGTCTTGTCATGGAAGCCTTTGACCCTCAAGTGCGTGTGTTGCAAGTGGATGCCCGAGAGCCACAAGAACTGGCAGACCATGCCAACCGGGCGGATGAGCGTGCGGCACAAGCCCGAAAGACCCTTCTGGTGCCACAAGGAGTTGGCAAGTTTCCTGACTCCTCCGGCGATGCCAAGTTTCCAGACAAAGGTGCAAAGGCTGATTTTCCCATTGACTGGCCTTCAGAGGTCACTAGCACCACCAATGGCGCCATGTTGGCTAACCTATCATTCTTTGTGCGGCCAGTGCCTCATTGGCGTGGTGGGGCGAAGGCACACACCATCAATCCAAATGCCAATAAAGTGGCAAGCATGCGTTCCAAGCTGGCTCGAAAGTCAGTGATGGGTAATCTTTGATCCACGGATATCCAAGGATCATGCGACGAAAAAGTACATCGAAATCGAGTTGATCGGTGGAGTCCGAAACCCTTCAATTCGAAAGAGGCTTCGAAGCTCCGAACTCTCTGAAGCAGAGCTTGTGACACTTGTGTGACAGGCGAAGAAGCAACTTCAGAAGCAGCTGGGCTTGCTGCTTAATGATTTGGCTGGATGACGACATGACATGAGCAAGAGTTTTTTGCTATGCAAGGGACCCAAAGTCATTGCCATTTTTTTTTGCTAACAGTTCGTCCATAGACATCACCAAGGTGAATCCAGTGAGGATGAAGAGGATGAACCTCCAAAGCAACCAAAGCAACAGCCAAAGGCATGTGCAGTTGCCTCATGCAAGTTTGATCAAGTTTGCTCTTATTCCTCATGTCAGAGACTCTGTCATTGAACCTTTGAATTAGTCTTAGGTTGTTCATTTCCTTTTTGGGTTTGCACACGGAAACGCTCTATTTGATTGCTCAGCAGTTCTACATGTCAGTCCATGCCGTTGCCGAAATCCAAAATTGCTCGACAATTCGGGTTGGAGCCTCAGGTCTCCAACTGCCACAGCACTTCAAACGGATATGTATTCTGTCTCAAGCATGTTCAAGCAGCTTTTGGTGATCGTTCTCAAACTACAGGGACTCTGAAGATGATGACAATTCGGACTGCTTTGGCCTGCACAGTGCAAATAGTGTGCAAATAGTGTGCAAATGGTGTACTCAGTGTACTCAGTGATGAGTGTCGGCCACCATTGCAAAACCACCAGCGCCATGATTTGCAACGGTGACCGACACTCACTGAGCACACCATTTGCACACTATTTGCTGCAATTACAGTGATCTTCAGTTCTTTTAGTGTCAACCAACTTGTCCCAGTCTTCGGACTCCAGGACATCGAGCGGGAAATGAAGAAGGCAGCCGCTGACGCCGTATTTGACCTAAGTCGTATGCCTTTGCTTTGAAAGTGGCAGCGTACTGTAGCACCTGTGTAGGATGTCACATTACTTACCCTGGCGCCGCTGTTTCGCTTGGGAGCCTAGGCAGCCTCCCGTTCATTGCTAGGCGGATAAGAGACTGAGATTGTGTTTTCTTTAAAAGCAAGCAGGCGATACACTTGGGCTTTAATTGTCAAAGCTCTCAAATTGGATGCATGGTTGCTTCCGAGCAGAACTGGCAGGAAGCTCCAAAAGCCCAGCGAAGTACCTTGCCAGCAATCAACAATAACTCATCAAGCTGCCCTATACAGGAAACTTGCTGGACACTCTTTTTCTTTGCTGTATGGGCCAGGGTGCGTTTCTTCTGCAGTGCGATCTGGAGAGAGATCACTGGCCTGTTTAGAGCTAGGTTGGCACCCATTTCCAGCTCTTTGCCGAGCAAGCAAGCAGGCACGGCTTTGTTGTGTCCTACTAGGTCCTGCTATGTTGGGAGTAGCTTGTGTATGATTCATCGCAAGGATGAAAGCACGTTGGCCAGAGGAGTCACAGTAGGAAAGGCCACAGAGGCCACAGTGACTTCTAATCTCCTAAGTCTGGACTGAAGATTTCTTATGATTTCTTATGATGAATGACTTAGACCTTTGGCCTTACTACTAGAAACAAGGACGCTACGAACGGAACAAAACTCTTTAAGACGTCTGAGACGTTGCAAAAAGACCAACCACGACCCTCTGTACATCCGACCCTCTCGAAGCTTGTGAGGGCCAAAGCCGGCGGTTGACTCATCCGATGATGAGTTTTACGATGACGAGTTCGATGACGACGAAGCGGGGACTTGGGTAGCTGACATTGTGGACTTTCATTCCTTTTAATCCTTTTTTCATTCAAAGAATTGGAGAAGAACAGTTGGATGATTCGCAGGAGCTCCCGATGTGATCCTCTTCCTGCAATTGACGCCAAAGGCAGTGTCCACAACGTAGGATATGGCAGATTTTCGGTCAAGCAGCGTTCAAAGCAGTGAGTGGAATCAACGCTGCTCAAAGTGGTGCACTGAAATCTGCTCCAGATGGCAGAGCTTGAAAGCGTCGACGATGCCAAACTGATTGAATCTGACATGAAATAAGAACGTAGAGTCCGAGCTCATCAAACACCTGCGGCATAGTCCTCGAATTCGCCTTCGTGCAAACTTGGAATTAGAGCCGTACTCGTGGCCGGTCGGTGGGACACAATTCCGTGTCCATACCAAAGGTTGATGTCCATGTACAGAATCGTCACAAAGGCGGTCAAATAGAGATGCAAAACAATACAGCTCAATACAGTCTACAGATTCAGATGTCTACAGTGTTGCAGAATTCCATTGCTTGTCTCGCTTTGAAGCAAGATTGAACTTGGACCGAAAGGGAAGACACCTACTTGGAGACGAATCTTCCGCAGCCGCTTTACAGAAATTCTGTTAGTTCGTTTCCCATAGCCCACCAACCATGGCCGTCAGCCAAGTCATGGACACCATCAATTCAGTGTGCCGTTCCAAAGGCGGCCATTATGCAGGCTACAGCTGCAAGGTGAGCGTTCTAGTGTTTCTCCGCTCAGCATTTCAAGCTCCAAACTTTTATTTGGTCTTGGGTTTCGTAAAATGCGATACATTTTGGAGCAATCTAACATCACAGCCTGCGAGTGTGAGATTGATGGCCTTACCCTGCTTGCACTTTTCTTGTTTGATAAAAGCCGGTTGGTGATTTTGTTTGCACCGTATCCGAATCCTCGCGGCTAGTCCGTGTAAACTTTTGGCAGGTGGTCTCGTGGGATGATGTCAGTCGTGGGACGGTTGGTGGTTCCTTATCTTGCTGGGGTGCCAACATCACCGACACCTATTTGAAGAGTAAGACACTTGGCCGCCTGGGCTGTCAAAGCCCCATAGGCTACTCTTAAGGGCTCGTGTACCATGGCTAGCAAAACTAGGAGGAGAAGGTAAGCTTAGGCTTGAAGAAAACTAAGGTTCAAACGCTCTCGCTGAAGACTCATTTGCCTGGAAGGATTCCTAGATTTACTCAGAATGATCTCTTTAGTGTCAACCACTTAAGGCTTCTGATGGTAGAAATGGGCTTGTGATGAGTACAAAGACGGGCGCATGCTCGTATTCTGCCAATTCCAAAACGTGAACCCAACAAGCCGGCTGTAGACTTAAACGGAAAAGTCAAAAAGTCGGGTTCCACAGTCTTTGGGGGTATTTTCAAGTGACCACTTTCACAGAAGGCCCCAACAAGACCAAGGCGGCGAACAAAAGATGACACCATGTCGAAACAAGTGCACACAACTTGGGCAACACTAAAGGATCCATTGTTAGTACTGTAATTACTGACATCATGATGTCTCACAAGGGGGGCAAGCAGCAGCAGCAGCAGCATGAACCTGGTGCTATAGTGACATGAACAGGTTGAATCTTGGATGTTTGAATTTGCATAAACACCACGGCAGTAATTATGGATGAAAGGCAGTATGGATGAAGGATTCCTTTGCAGCTGCGTCAACACGTCGCTGTGGATTTTCTAGAAACATACAAGTAGAAAACACATGAGTGAACATGTCGAGGGAAATCCCAGAACATCAGCAGCTCTCGTGTTCCCTCAAACTCCAGGAACGGTGCTAATTTGTTCACGGTCCGCAGCGACAATTGGAATGAAAAGCTGGGCGTCGTGAAGGCCGAGGACGTGGCCGTGGTGGCCGGCAGTGGGGCCGTGGCAAGACCGGTGACGCTCCGGACAGTGCTTCAGCAGTTGGGACAATATGGAGGATATGCCGGGCTGGAAGGCGGCACAAACCTCTATGACTCGTCGTTGGATGCCAAGTGTTCTATCCGCTTCCAGACAACATTCATTCCGGTCCAAGAGCCTACAATGTTCGGTCTGTTTGGCAGTGGTAAGTCGGAATTTGCGACTGAAGCCTACAATTACAACACCATGGATGACTCGGACCCACGGAATCTTGTGCTTCTTTGCACTAGTCAAGGTATGGCAGTTCAACAAGATGGAAGAGGAGCCAAAAAGCTATTTCATCACGCTGTAGACGGAAGTGGCAAGATCCATCGCTATTGGCTTGAGGCTGAAGAAAGCCTGCACAAAGTCGGTGGGGCGCAGCAGGAAACTGCGGAGGAGCGGGCAGAAGCACTAGCAAGGGGAAAGGCAACCTCCAGTGTGATTGGCATCAGAGCAATGGGGCAGAGGTTCAACGTGCTTATGACAATTCAAGTCCCTTTGCAGCAGGCCAAAGTGAAAGCCAGGTCGGGCTGCCTATCCCCATGGAGTATCTTCGCCCCGTCTGTTCCCTATGCTGCTGGTGGGAGTTGGGGTGCGGCGAGTGTGGAAGTTGCGGAGTCTGACGAATGGTCAGCATCCTTGGAGGCCTTGGAAGCCAAGGTCCAAACTCTCAGATCCTGCAGTCGCAATATGAATGCTGCACGCCCCGTGGGACACAGCAGTGCAGCTCGGGTGTCCCGTGGATCAGAGTACGACACCTGGCCAGGACTTTCGGTCAACTCACCCAAGCGAAATCCCTCGGAGCATGTGACAGTGACCGTGGTGCTTTACAATACTGTGTCCTTGTTGCAATTTTCTCAGAAAGCTTTGGTTCATCCAAAAGGTTTGTGGATCACAAGGCGTCGGCTGAGCATCATGGTACAAGCATGTCAGGTTAAGTGACGGCCGAGCTGCTGGCTTGCGTGCTTTTTCCCGAATGAGTAGCGAAGGGTTCTCGTTTAACTTTGGAAGCCTGAGGGTAGAGCATTGTTCGCGTGACATTGCTTTCATGTTCGCAACCGTTCGCTGCCGTTCACAATCATCCGCAAGCGGCGGAATGTGATCGATAAGGCCGTGATAGTGCGGGAAGCTTTTGGAAGAGGTTTTGGATGGAAGCATGAAGTGGCAGACTCGTGTGAAATAGCGTGAAATGATGTGAAATGTAATATGATGAAGTGTGGAGGATTATTTTGCTGAAGTCCCCCGTTGCTGTGACAGTGGGATTTGCGTTTCAGGCTGTTGCCTCGAAGCTGTGTTTTCGTGACAAGTCTCAAAAAATGTGATTTTGTCGAAATCATTCTAAGCGTGTGGTCTGGTGCAAATTTTGCTGAAGACGTCGAGTCATGTCATTACTTTTCGTGGCGGGCGCAGTGCTTTGTGCGTGTTGGAGGCGTCGAAGTTGAATTTTCGTGCCAGGCGCAGGGAGTGGTGAGGTTGCGACTTGGTGGAGGTGAACGTCGCTGTGCAATTGGGGCGCGGCTGTGGTTTTGAGGGGCTGGGATTGTGAAACTGCTTGGCAGGGCTGCTTGATGTTTCCGCTCTGATGAGACTTCCCGCTTCACCTTTGAAGGAAGGCTTGCACAAAGCGCTTGATTTGGAGACTTTGACGCTTGACTATTGGAGGTCTCTTGCGGAATGCTCATTTGGAAAGTATCAAGCGCGCGTTTGACGCGTGACTCTTGGAGGAAGTCTCGTGCGAAATGCGGAGTATTGACGGAAAACTTTTGGAAGATCCTAAAGGATGCCAACCTGAAGGAAAAGCAGTGCCGGTCTCATTCTGAAGAAGAGTCGCCGGACGGGATCATGAACGGAGGGGCGACGCCGGAAGGAGTCGTTCGAGGCCCAGGATCCGGGGGCATGGCGCCGAAGAAGGAGAGGAGCCGGCAGCCACCCGTCCGGACTGAGTCCGGACTCACCACCTCGTAGCCAAGAAGTCCGGATAAACCCTTGCCTGAACCCTCGAGCAGGAACAGGTCTTCTTCAGGCCAGTGCATTTCGAATGGGGGTCTTGGGTCTGCCTCGCAAATATGCGGCGCAGTGAATGCGCCAGGAGATGAATACTGGTTCGTGTGCGACGACAGCTTCTGGAATTCTACTGATTGGGCCGACGAACTCTACCGCGAGATCAGGAGGCGAGAGCGGGCTGCGAGAAAGGCTGAGTCCTCGACTCTTCTTGCCCTTGCAGCTGGCAGGTGGGAATGTGAGAGACGCGGGAGAGAACACTGCTCTCGCGGGTCAAATGTTGCCAGTGCTCCACCCTACGCAGTCGACGTCGTGGGGATGATGAGAGCTCGGACTCCGAAAGAGACAGGCGTGTGCGACAAACGCTCAGCCAGATGCCTGAAGCCAAGCAGATGAAGAAGCGCCGCAACAAAAAAAAGGTGCGCCAGTGTGGGATTGTTCACCGTCAACCTCGCCGCGGGCACAGGGTGCCGCGGAGGGTCAATGGTCTTTCCACCGTGAGGCATTTTCTGCCCCGCAAGTCAAGTTGCTGAACCAGATGCAGTGTGCCCTGAATGGGAATGGGCTCATTTGACCTGGTGGTCAAGGTGTTGGTAGCTGCAAGTTTGGCGCCGCTCGCCTGGAGGAGCTGAAGAGGTGCTTGACAGCATCAGTAGCCACGGGCCTGATCTTCAAGTCACCGGTATTAAGCCTTGAGAATCGCGCTGCGCTTCCTTGGCAGCTCTTGTTGCCAACAGGCTGGTCTGAGCCTATCATGGGAACTCATTCCCTGCCAAGCTTTTGGAATAGAAGCCTGATGGTCAGACAACCTGAGACAACCTGGGAGGTGTCTGGCTCAAAGGAAAGCGTGTGGTGTGGATCAGGTTGACGACACCTCGTCAGTCAGCTTGTGCTTACCGGGGGGCTTCGTCAACTCAGGGACGTGCGGGCACGTCGATGCCGCCGTCGATCAAGCGTGAACGCTGGGGTTGGTTCCTTCTCGAGCGGAGGTCGAGTACTTGAAGGACCGTACCTCACAGTCTGCGGTGATGGAGCTTTTGGACCGTCGCCCGAATGCCGTGGTCTACCTGACCGCTTATTCGCTGGATCAGCCTGATCTAGTGAGGACGCTGGGCCACCGCAACGCAAGGATCCAGATCCTAGCAGACGCAGGGCAAACGCGCGAAAGCCGAACCAAAATGCAACTGCCGAATTTGATGGAAGTTAAGATGGCGCGCGGAGGAAATCTCGCGAAGACCTACCAGGAAGACGGCAGGTCAGTGTGGAGGGTTGAAAGGAATCCAGCGCGCCAAGAGCTGCTTGGTGCTTTCGCCTCCGCAGGCCTACATGGTGGTTGGCTCATCAAATTGGACAACTTCAAGTAAGTCCAATCGTGAGTCGGGTGATCCGGGTGTCTATTGTTGACGCTGCCGCAGGATCACCAACGCGTTCGGGACTTTCGCTGGAGGAAGAGCAGTTCCAGCAAGCTATAAGACCCAAGGCGGTCGAGGACGTGCTCAATGAGCAAGGGCACGACATCCTGCCGGATGCATCCAAACGGAGTGGTAAAGCTCGGTGTGGGGCGCCCAGCGGCCGGTCGTGCGCGGGCTGGAGTGAGAGCCGGACCTAGCTAGATGTAGCTGCCGGCTGAGGGGCGAGTGCGAATGGTACTGTCCCTACCAGCCTTTGTGTTCTTGTTCTTGCATGTGTGTACAGTTGTTTCACGACAAGTGGACGAGAGGGTTCATATTTGAGTGTTGCGCACGGGAGAAGGCGTAAGCAGCTTCCTGCGCTGTCTCACCATCCCGAGAGCAGAAAACAGTTGAGCAGCCGCATTTGGTCAGGTTCCCAAGACCGGTCGTTCCTGCTCACACCGTTTTAACTTCTTTGGCGAAGGGTTCCACGAAAGGCTGAGCAAATAGTGACGCTCGCGAAAGGGAAAACTGTGGTCGCGAAAGGACCGCGATAACATGTTGCGAAAGGATGCTAAGAATACGCAACCAGTTCCAAGAGGCTTTCGACCCAGCCCCACAAGAGTTTTCCACAGTAGTGCCCCACAAGAGTGTCCCGCAAGAGTTTCCCACAAGAGTGTCTCCTGCAAGAAGTATCACACAAGACTGTCCCACAAGAGTGTCTGACAATGTTTGGCCGTTTGTTTTCGAGTGCGTGTGTGCATTCGGGTTCGTGGGGTCCATGTTGTTTTGCTTTCCATCTCCTCCTGCGGTCCTGCCTCAGTGCTTTGGGCACAAGGATCCAAAGGGGCAACCCCCCTGCATGCTCCTGCTCCTGCTCCTGCTCCTGATCCGAAAACACAAGTGAGGTCAAGGGAGGCGTTCCTAGCGAGACTGATGTGTTGGCTGCAATCGATGACTTGGAAACCCTATACCGCGCGTGTGCTGAGACTGGCAACCTGGCAGACAGCATGTTTGACTTTATGAAGGAACCTCTAAAGGTGGATGACCTTCTTGACATCTCGGCCAAAGTGAAGTACCAGCCACCTCCAGTTCAAGTGGTCGGCTACGATCAGTTCCCGACAGCGTGAGAACTCCCAGGAGAAATTCTGAGTTTTCTGATGGGCGGCAAACGAGGATCTTGCGCAGTATGATCCACCTCCCAGCTGCTGCCGAATTCGCGCAATCCAGACGCCTTGTACAGATGGCGACGATGCTGGCATGATTTCCTTCTGATTATTAAAACAATCCCACGCGCAATAACAGGTAGATGCCGGGTTAATTGTTCGTTTGCCACCATAAAATCCAGCGATCGCTTTCCATTCACGACCCTCGACGACCTTTTGAGCTTCAAATCAAGAGTTGAGATACATTTGCCATGTCGTGCCCTGGATGGCACTTACCACCCATATGGCATTTCAATTCAAGACTCAATGCCTCCTTTCCCTGTTCCAGAGATACTTTTGTGAGGCGCATCAATACCATCGTTTCCTCAGCAGTCGGGTCCTGAGGCTTCAAGAGGCAAGCTGCACTCACAAAAGAACCTTGATGACTCGCTGTTTCACTTAGACTTATTGGCAGCTTCGAAAGCTGCCAAGGGCTAAACTGAGGACAAGAATCCAGAGGTACAGGAGCCCCAAATCTGGGGTGATCTCAGGCAGGCTTTGTCCGTTTCTCTTCCTGTGACTGAGAGAAGACTTGGATTCGATTCAATGTTCGGAGAGGCATCAAGGGTGCGCATCTCAGTGCCCTGTGCGACTTGCTGTGTAGGTGGTCAAGGTGGGTCAGCTTCGGTACTAATAGCAATGGCCTCCAACCAACCTGCGATGGCCTCCAACCTGAAAGCGACGATGGCCTCAACCTACTAGCGATGGCCTCCAACATAGAAAGCCCGGTGAAAATTGTGAAGTGAAGTCCTCGTTTGACACGAGAGCCATGTCAGCAAAAAGCAAGGGCAAACTTTGTAGGGCCTCCAAGCTTCTTTGTTCATACCTCCTGCATGAGTCCTTGACAGCCAACGCGTGTCGAAGAGAGCCGCAACGAAAAGCATCCTTTCTTGAGGCATGCCCGATCAGTTTGGGGCATGGCGTCGAAAGAGACCACAGTGAGTGAAAAGCCTTATTGGTGTGAACCTCAGATCTACCTCTGAGACGAGAGGATGTATATATATATATGATTGTATCCCACAAAATTCATGATCCTTGATTGGCCTAGGTTTGATTCCGCGAGCAAGGATGAGCAGGTTCCTGTGACAAATGGGCAGGCGGGGGCTGGGTTTTCACGTCTGGGATCATGGTAAATGGCGTGTACATGCGTGTACTGTATATAGTGTATATATATATATATACACACACTTTTTTTGTATATACCCAGAGCTCCACTCCCGCTGCTCATCGCCGGGGACGAAAACGCCAAGCTGTCGACAACGTCGAACACACTCGCGTGGAATACTTGCTGGAGAACCTTTTTCAGGATTTCTACCAGCTAGACGTTTCTCAATCACCAGGATTGCGGCATCTCCCCGCTCCTCAACAACAACAGCTCATTCAAGGCCTTGTGCGCACCTTGACCTCCTATCAGGACGAACTCAGTCAAGCACTCAACCAACAGGATCCTCCTCTCAATCCAGACCTCCCTACTGAGGCTCCATCCGGCCCCACCGATCAAGAACTGCCGTTCACTCCAGCCGCTACTGGGACAGAAGTCCCCGTTCCGGATTCGGGATCTATGTCACTGAGTTCTTCGTCTACATCACCCCAGAACACGCTTGCGCCTCCATTCCCACCAACTGCTGGGACACACGATTGATTGCCATCAGAGCTGCCCCTTCCCTTGGGTTGAGGCCGTACGAGCTTCCCCTGTACCATAGACTCTACCATTCTCAGCTTGAAAAAGAAAAATAATCCTGCACTCTCCTTTCTCCTTTGTCCTTTTGTCACCTTTTCATTCCGTGCCCTCTTCATTACATTACCTCTCCGCAGCCATTGGCTCCTCCCGACAGTGTTTTCATTTATCTCCCATGTCCACGATGATCTCTTCACCCGGACTTCGTGTTCCCGAACCTTTGACTCCTTTGATACCCACTACATGGAGAGACGTCCGTCAACCGTTCGAGTCCCTGGATCAAGTTCCCAATCTTTCCACCGTCCGGTTCGAATTGGACATCCTCCTCGTTTACCAACCGCTCAATTATATCACCGTGACCCTCGACACCCTCCAACTTGAAACCAAGGAGTACTGGTCGATGATCTCAAAGATATGATCTACTCCCGTTTGGGACAGCGGCGTACAGCATTCTGGATGGCCCTGCCTTCTGCCGGTGACTCGCGTGTATGGGAAGCCCCGCACACCTGCACACTTGAGGACCTCGCTCTTTACTATGTCAACTCCCGAAGGATTCGTCCTCTTGGAATCGCCAATGAGTATCCACGAGATTCCACTCCTTTTCCCTACCGACCTCTACATACTGTCGCCTCTCGCCTACACGATGATGCTATTTGTCAACCTCGACTACCTCTGACAGCTTATCAGACTTATCGTGAACTTCGCCAATTTAGCTAGTCTCACCCAACCTTCCGGCTTGGCGCTTAAAATTTGCCTCCCTTTGGGGAGGCGTGTGTGTGTACACCTTGTAGTCACAGGGATTCTTTCGAATTGTTTTCGGTTTGGTTCAAGTAGGGGGACTGGAGCCGATTTGCCTATCCAGTCCAACGTAGGCCCCTTTAGGACTTTCCTGGACCTTTCAGGATTTGGGTTTCTTAGGCTGGCGTGTGGCACCGCTGTCAGTCAGTACGCATATCCATAAGTGTGTGTGAGTGTATGTATGTAATGTAATGTAATGCAATGAAGTGCAATGCAATGCATGTATGTATGTACGTACGTATGTAGGTAGATGTATGTAGAGTTCATTGCAAATTAGGCCCACAGAGAAACCATATTGAAGCCATGCATCAGATGTTTGTTGCTCAAGTACCGTCAGGTGAAGCCAAGGTATCCATTCTTCAACTGCAATTGAGCCGGAGATGCGTTCAAGTGAGCCTTCTTCCAAGCCAGGGATTTGGGTGCAGTCTGTGTTTCTATGTACATACTGGTTGCTGAATGGAGCAGCACCACTCAAACTTTGAGCGATATATTGGACACAAGAGCAGCCAATGCCTGAGCTCATCGGCGAAAACCAATGACCTTATTGAAGTGGCTGGGACAGACGGGGGTAGACCACAGCTGAGGCTAAGATGGATGCAGCATGCAAGGCAGACTGCATGACTCCCATGGTCTCAGGGAATGGAGCTGGTGAGCTCACAGGAAGGATGTTGCAGATGGCCTCCAACATAGAAAACTCTGTTACAGGAACGGAGTCAGCCATATACAGGTAAGGTATGTCTTTAGCGGGTGGGGGGACGTTTTCCACTGCTAAACTACGCCCTGGATATGGCCCATGACACTGGCTTGGCGAACCGTTGTCTTCATTGAAGCAATCCACGCTGCCAGAGCTCTAACATTTTCTGTTGTGGCCAGCTTCAGCTTTTGCTCGAACTTGACATAACTTGACTGCGCTATATAATTCCAAACACAAGAAACGATCTTGAATCTTGGACAAGACTGCCCAGCAAGCTGCTTATTTGGACTACTCTTTGGCACTATGATTCCAGATGGTTCCTTCTCTGTGCCTTTAGGTTTGCATTTGCACACAGAGCAGCCACAGACACCACTGGAACCGACAACTATATATAAACTAGAAACCAAAGAAGTCGCTCGCTCTCCAGAATGGCGATGGCCAGCTCCAGCTCCAGTTCCAGCTCCAGGCCACCATCGACCAAGGCTGGACTGAGATGCCACAGGACTTTCCCGAAAGACATCCTTGAGAAGCAAGTCACTCATACAGCCTCTGAGGGACTGAGGGCTCCATCAATAAGCAAGTCACTCCGCTTTCCTTTGGTAGCAACGATGTGTTTGAAAACTGTCTACGTCGATGGCTGCTCAAACCACTTGGGAAGGCGATGGAGATGCAAATGCCGGTCGAGCCACACTGCTGCAAGAATTGGTGTTCGTTAAGAGCATGGAGTAACTGCTGCACATACCAATTTTTCAAATTTGGTATGAACATCTTTGAAAAACGACCCACACGTAATCTCCTCCCCGGCAAACGAACGTGGTTGAGGCGACCAGCATCGCGCCCCTACGAGCCAGCCAAGATTTGGTGTATTTGTGATGGCTGCGGAATCTAGGATTTGACGGCCTTGAAACTTGAAACTCTGAGATTTTTTTTGTTTTTTTAAAGGCACTCTGCAGGATTCAGCCTGAGTCATCACAGTCTTTGTTCATCCGACCCATGTGACATCATGTGACTGAGGAATAGTGTGCTTGTGCATTGCGTGTCTTGGATAAGATTCAGGTCCGCCTGGATTGAATTGTGGAAAAAGACATGCACGCTACTCTTCTGATTCGGGTGCAAATGTATGGGCTGTATGGGCCATCACAATTGCATAAGCCAGCTCGTAGGAGAAACAACCTTTGCGAAAGGCGACGCTGCTGCGTAAGCGCAATGCAAGCAGAAATGCAAGCAGAAATGCAAGCAATCAATCTGACGCCTTTGTTCCGACTTGACAAACGCGACCTTGAGGTACACACTTCTTTTTGAGTGGGCCTCAGTAATTCGGCAGTCTGGATAAGTACCACCAGAGGCCTCTCAAAGCACGGCTGTTTGAAGGTCTCCAACGTCACAGTGCTGAGACTAGGGCGTTGGCCCTTGGGGGAGTCTTTTCAGTTTGCTTTTACGATAGGCGGGAGACCTGCATGGGATATGAGACCTGCACGACCCGAAGCTTTGCATCGAATCGTGCAGGCTATGAGGGGCTCTTTGTTCTCAGCATATGGTCACATCTGGTGCTCTGGCTGAAAGAGTGGGAATCTCTCGGGGCCTGGGCACTGCAGTCACAGGCTGTTTATGCATTCTGAGCAGGATGAGACCCTGCGGCACTTATATAATTGGAAACTTCAGTTGCCTGAGGCATGTATGCTGACAGACCCTGGAGCATGTCCACTGGATGTCGAGTATGCAGATGGTGATAGGCACTGCACAAAGTGCTGTCCT